ATCTAATCATTACCTTTTTAGGTGCAAGTACGTGTGAAGAGCAAAGTCAGGGTGGATTGACTCAGACTTATATCCAGAAAAGATGTTTCACTTGATGGGCTCTCTCAGTCTAGCATGTTTGTTAATCGTGGAAGTAAATGTAAACATGGGGAGCCGTGTGCTTTTAAAATTGGTTGAGGAGAATTTGGAGACTTTGACGGCAATTCTGGTTTATGTTGTGTTTCATTTGGCAGGAGATTGTGGTTGAATTTAGGGCTTTCAAACTTGCGTTCAAATGGCCTGGCAGCACTTGTGTATGGTTTTGTTGTAAAGCGATTGTAAGCAGGAGTGACTGGTTTTTGAGTCTGCTCACTTCCATTAAGTGGACCCTTGTCAGGGAAGCTTTTCTGAGGATAGAAAGTAGACTGCACAGTGTCCTCTCTGTTGGAAGATCTCAAAATTGCTGGTTTATTCTGAGGTGGAGGAGGGTCAGGTTTAGACACTGTAGAATTCTGGAAATCTACTGACACAGAGTTAACTGTAATATAAACAATTGAAGAAACAGTCATACATGGAAAATCCGTAACACGTAAGCCTTAATATTCAATTATAGACCCCAGTGACACAAACTCCCACTTTTAATAATCCCAAGAGAAGGATCAGTTTTTCCCATTATTCTGATGCAGCAAATTCACAAACCATATTAGGATAAACATTATTTTAATTGATTTTTCTCCCAGTCCCAGAGGGCTCAATATAGTATGTTATAATTGTATTGTCAAGATTTTGTTGTTCTCAGTGTCCAAATTAAGGATTAAAGAACTGTTCTAAAATTAAGCTAATGTTTAAAAGAAGTATTAATTATGTATTCTAGGAAAAGGAGGCCAATTGCCCCATTCTTAGTTTTTCACAATTAAGGCAACTTTTGGTCATCTATATAAATACAAGTTATGTTAAGGTACATATACTTGTCTGAGTTGTACTATACAAATTCCACACATTTTGTATGAACTGGAGTAGATGAAGCAGCATCAAGCAAAAACTAAACTGCAATATGATCACAACTGTGCTACAAACAGCTGGAAAAAAGGACATTATGAGTTAAGGCTGCCTAAAGCTGAAAATGATCTTGAACACTTGCTGGGGGGACTCAAAGTCAGGTTGGGGTGAAGTTGGGAGAAAAAGATAAACTGATAAACTGTATCCTTACTGTTGAGGCTATTAAAATAACACAGGCAAGGCTAGTTTTGCCCACTTGGTTAAGTAACTATTTAAAGCTACCAGATGATTTCCCAGTCTACATATTATGAAAAACTTTTGTAAATAATTTTGGTTCAGATATCAACCAGTCAGAGAAGAATGGCTCTATGCCTCATGTTTAGTGCTTAAATATCTACGTTGGTACTTGACATTACAGGTTGTTTTTATTTTTAAGTGCTAAGAGAACTCAAAAATTCCTCCATAATTAAGAAATCTGCATCTTTAAATAACAAAGTTCTGGGAAGTTACAACTCCATTAAATTCTTTTTTTTTTTTTTTTTGCTTAACTGAAGTAGAAAGTATAGCAATAACAAAAAAATTGTGTGTAAAATGGCTTAATTTAGGAAGTCGTACAATAACAATTCTGTGCCAGGGAGTTAGGTAAACAGAGTTACTAACGTTAACTCTATGCAGATTACATGTGTCAATTTTCAGATTTCATACCCTCAGAAAGTGCAGGCTTGTGATGTGCCTGAAGAGAGAGTGCAGAGTTATTAATTGACTGTGGTTGTGTATATTGTACTGGAGGTGGAGGAGGAACAGCAGAAGTAACTTGAGGAACCAGCTCATAGCGCTTTTCACCAACAGGCCTATCCATCGGTTCACTATCAGTAGGTTTCCCCCTGTTCGAGTAAAAGAAAAACAATTTTCTCAGCATCCTGTTTCAAAGTTTTCAGTGTATGCATTTACCACTAATTTTCTTCCTATGACCATCTGATTTGCATCTCTTCCTATAACCATTAAACACATTTTCTTTAACATCCAATCCTAAATGCAAAAACATTCATTATAAGCACAAGAGATTTCAAGACAACATTGGATCTTTAAAAGGATTAGTAACAAAAACCAAAAGATGGCAAACAAAATGCAGATGACATTTTAGATGTATTTTTTGTAATATTTACCTATAAATCCTTCATTTTTAAATTTAGTTTTGGGGGATTTTCAATGAAAGAACTGAACTATAAATCAGGTATTCGTAGGACAATTTTAAATTGAATTAGATAGGGTATTTTGAAGAAGGCATAACTGGGTGTGGAATTATAAGATTGATTCCAACTGAAATTTTCTAAATACACCTGATTTCAACAATGCCATCTTAATTAGAAAAGCAATTAGCTTAAGCTTCACTAGCTTTATGTGCATAAAGTAGACACTTAAAAATCTTAAATTTCAAATATTTACACATATGTTAGGTATTTTTCCAAAAGTCAATGTTTCAGGAAATAGCCAATTTCACAAAAAGCTATAATTGTTTTGGACTGTAATACTTTAAAAACTTATTTTCAGAAAGTGTTTAAATTTAGGTGCACATAATGCCCGCGATAAATATGTAACAGTGAGAGGACACCTTAAAACATCCTCACATCAACAGCAGTCTTACCACTTGATGTTCCTTTTCAAGTAGTCATAGCTAGTGTAAGAGCCAAGAAATCTAGGTGATGGCAAAGCAAACAGCAATAGAAGAATGAAAGAAAGATGGTCATTCTATCTTAAGCATATTATTTCTTCATTCAAACTTTATGTTAGTGCTAGAACTGTTTATATGACAAGACAATGTACAAAAAAAGACAATATTAACTTAGTCAAGCTTACCCCTCTAATGCATGCATTCATGTATGTGTAAACATAATCGTATACTATGCTTTGAGATATTTTGTCAGTGAACCACAGGCAAGAAAACCCTCAAAGCATTACTCATCTATAGTTTCTAGAAGTAAAGTTAAGTGTGTACTAATATTAAAGTCTGAATACCCATGTATCTGTTACAACACATTGAGAGAACAAAGCATTTATATTCTACTTCACTTCGAAAAAAATGTTTTTTTTACGAAGTCATGCTCATCCCATTCCTGGGCCATTTACTGTGTGTATCGTATTGCTCATACTGCACTTCAGTTGGCCAGATGAGAATGTTTATATAAATGAAAAGTTCAGTGTTAAATTACCAACCCAATCAGAGTCCATGCCTTAAATGTTTCTAGTCAACTTTAGAAATTCTTGTAGTTACACCTTCATATAAACTATTTTATTTCTACCCATTAGAAACAAGTGTAAATGCAGAAGCGTAATGTGGAAACACGAAAGAAAAGAAACTCTTTCAGAAACGTCCTCTTATATTGTATCAAGAAAATAGGTGTTCTAGCAGTACACATGGTCCCGCCCTCCTTCCTATATGCCAATGAAAACTGGGCAGATATAACACTTCAGTTGTAGCGACAAATCATTACCACAACCTTCTGTGTTTGCAGGTCATGCAGCTATATATACACACACACACATAAAAAGTATTTAATTTATTTACTTATTTATTTAAATTCTGCAGTTCATGGTTTCTGTTGTGTAAGTGCTATTGTGAATCTTTTTCCTTCTAGGAGATTAGAAAAAAATCCACACTCCTTCTAAATTCATTTTTAAAAGAAATATGAGCCTGTAAGACAACCAGGGCTCCCTTGTTGCTTCCTATGTGTCATCCAGATATGAATAGGTTAACAAAAACATTTTAGTTGTTCTAGAAGTTCTAAAAGTTTAACATGTTTACCATTAAGATAAAGGAACAGATTCATAAAATAAAACTGAAGTATAATTACTAACTATTCTTTTACTTAAGCTTCAAGAAAGTTTTTTTTCCTAACAATTTTCTAAAATAACATTTTAATATGCAATTCCTTTTTTCTTTCAAAGCTATGCAAATCAGTTTTGAACATGACAACTCTTTACATGCCAGTGGAGCCTGTGTAATTTCTCATTTATTGTGGGCTTATTTTTAGTCACTATTTTTAAGGCTATGTATTTGATATTTGGTTATATGTATTCTGTTTATAGGACTAGAGTCTGATATAGTGACATTTACTTAACATTTAGAAAGGAAGTGCACTGATGACTTGCAACTAGTTTAGACTTTTAAAAAAAACTGAACATGCATCTGAAAACAGTACCTCTTTAAAGAGAGTATTACATAAAATGTATGTGCATATGCTATTCTCATTTCCACTTATAGTAGCTTCTGGAGGCTCCGAGCAGAAATCCGGACCCTCGATGTGCTAGGCACTGTAAAAAGTAATTTGTCCACTGATGACTAACAAACCGGAATTAGTAATTAACATGCCAGAGAACAAACAGTAACCAATTGCAAAGGTACTGGAGAGAATCTGCAACATAACTGAATAAAGAAAGCAATACACGAGTAATGAGAAAGCAAAAAGGAACAGTTATAATTGTAAGGATGGTGTTTCCTGAATTTTCCACAGCACTACTCAGGTTAGAGCAGTAGGCAGTCTGGATGTACTGGATCTCTAGGTTCTGCCTCAACTCGAAAGAGCTGTCTTTTCTCATTCTCAGGAGGTAGTAAGAAGTAAGAGCAGAAGACACTAACAGCCCTGCTCCCTTCAGAAGGATGCTATGAAACATTACTGGGATGACTAATTATAATCATAACTAATAAATCAAGAGCTATTTGACTGTGAGGGTGGATATGGCTTACCATCAAAAATTCACATTTTAGTAGGTCCTTAAAATATCAGTACTGCAAAAGGGCACTTTATCTTCTTAGTGTGAACTTCTATTCATGCTTATTTTATACAGCAAATGTCACTAGCCATGAACAGCACTCAGCCAACAGCACTCTAGTTACCACTAAAAAAATATTTTTGCCCTCCTCACTCCTCTTGAATAATTCCTTCTGCAGCAAGCTGTCCCTCTGAAATCACTACTTCCAGAGTGTGCTAATGACAACCAGGAGAAAGGGAGCCAAAAGTTTGTGAGAAAGAAGTAAAAGGAAGGGGATGGGCTGCCAGGCCACTGAGTTTTGGTGACCTGTTGAGGGCTACAACTCCCTTTCTGCTCCGTCCCTCCCTCCTGGGGCTGCAACCAAGCAGAACCCTGAACCAGCCTGCACCTTTAGCATGCCCCTGCAGCCAGAGTCCACCTGCTTGCACCTTTAGCATGCCCCTCCTTTACCACCCCCCCAAGTTTGAACCAGGCAGCTGCCAGCTGCACCCACAGCTGCCCAAACATGGCTGGCAGCCTCCATGGGGGTAGGCATGGAGGGGGAAGGGGGGTATGGGGTACGCTACAGCTGCAGGCTGTGACCAGCACGGAAGCAGCAGGTGGGTTCAAGCTTCTGCTTCCGTACTGGTGGCAGCCTCAGCCCAGCGAGAGAGTGAGCACACCTGGTACACTGGAAACAGCCCTGGCCATCTGGCACCACATGGCTGCCGTAGCCATGGCTAACCCACAGGCCAGATCCATCCACTTGGCAGGTGGCCACTTGCAGGCTGGATCCAATCAGTTGGTGGGCTGTATTTTGCACACCCCTAGACCAGAAGCTGAGCTAAGGAAAAGCCATAGCACACCTCTGTTCGCCTCTGGGAGTGCAGGATTATAACTGTGGCCATACTGGACATCACCCACAAATGGTTGTAAGTAGGGTAGGGCTCATTCTCCAATCTCATATAGCTGCATAAGGGCCAACTCTAATCTGAACCACATTCACTGGCACTTAGACAATCACTAGGCACAACAGCACTGCTCTCCACAGAATAATGCTTGTATCACTTTTCCTACTTGGTTGTACAAAAATATTTATGCCCTCTTACACAGATGTCAATGGACACATGAAGTACCCTGCAGGTAAGGATTTGCTGCCCCCTGACTCACTCCATTTTTACACTAATTATAATACAAGCATTATCATGCTCAAATACAGTAAACCTACTGAAAAATAAAGAGTCAAAATGGTATAGACAGATGTTTTAGCCTCATCTACGCCAGGGCTCATAAAAGGTCCCTTAATGACAATACTTCTCAAGTTCTCTTTGGCTGAATATTGGACAGAAGTGAAACAGATTAGTCACACAAACATACATATTTTGTACGTTTACCATGACAGATCTATGGAACTTGTTCAAAAAGGCAAAACCAATTTTTAAGACTGAAGAATTGGTGACAATTGTATATCCCCCCCCCAAATTGTAAGCACAGCTAGTTTTATATTAGGATGCAGAATATTATTCACCAATGTTATTTTTATGTTCACACTAAGGTGTGTATCTTATAATTTGCCCAGAGGCTGATAATTGGTGCAGATGACCTGGTGCTGAACACAGAAGAAGTGAAGACTGTGTTCAGCACTTACCAACATGGTCTAGGAATAGTGATGAAGCTGACTGGAAGTGTTTCATAAAGAACACTGCAGCAGAGTTTGGGCCAACACCAATTAACATTACCGCTTCACTACAAAAGAAACAGAATAATTACATAAAAATAATTTGGAAAAAAGAAAAAGTGGAGAACAACATTAGTCTGAATAAAACATTACCTACAAGCATACAACCTAACCCTTAACAGTGCAAAATCACCAGTGTTTTTCAAGTGACCTTTAGATGAAAGGCCCCACTGCATGAGGAGTTCGCTCTAATGCCTATAATTAAGAATACACTCGTATAAGCAACAGAGCTACAAAGCAAAAGGAGAAAAAGAAAGAGACCAAAAAAGCTATTCATGTACTACAGTTGTTGACAACTAAAAGACACAGATGTGACATGACCCTTACACAAAGCAGTTTCAGTGGTGGAACAGATTTTCTAAAATGAACTTTCTGGAGTCACTCCTACATGAGGAA